GTCATAGAGAGAAATAAACAAAAGTGAAAAACAGAAATAGTTGATTTTATTTTATTTTTTAAATAAATCGATTAAAGACTATTTCAGTTGATAAAATCCTGTTGTTGTCTATTGTGTTAAGATTTGTATAAGTTAGTTTTTACGACGACATTGTTCAATAAAGAACAAATTTTATTGATTCAAACATCAAACGCTATAAATTTACTCTAACTTGATATATGCTTACAAAATTATTGTGGTGCATTGAATTTGACTTTTCTATCAAATTTGTATTGAATATTTATAAGATTCGTTTCAAGTTATTTGATCTGATAAAGAAAATTTCTCACTTGATCAATTGCTTTTTAAGTTGAGAATATGCAGATCATGTTGACTCTTATGAGCTATGAATATTTTGAGAAAAGTTTGGACCTTTATTTTATTGCTGCGAAGATACTGTACTTTCGTCGTATTAGTTTATCTCTATGCTCTAAGCATCTTCGAAATAATTCAGTTTTTTTTTAATTCTCAACTTGAAACTTTGAACCGAGACAAGTCTTAACTAGAATAATTTATTGTCAAAGTTTCAATTGTTTTAATTCGCTCCTGTTCTGAAATAAGAAAATGAAATCCGTCGATGTATCTAAGCAATGTGAAAGACAAACGTTTTACTATAGTCGAATCTCCGTATAGGGTCAACAACAAGATCTTAAAATTTTCTCATAAACTATTCTCTTTAAGATCTGTCACGAGGAGTTACATAATGCATAGAATCCACCCTGAAAAGTGATTAATCAGTTGTAGAATTTCCTTCTTGAATATATTCATCCTAGTTGTTCTTCGAAATTTGTGACCATTGAAAAAAAAATGTTTTTAAACTACTAATTATAATTTAACTTAAGATTCTCGATGAATTAATTGGTGGAGCACGTATGACATTTACAATTCGTTTAAAAGTAACTGAATTTGATCCATTATTAATTGATTATAAAGTTCAATCATTACTTTATATGTAATATTGTGCATTACGTCAACGTTATTTTAAATTAGCTTTAACAAAATAAAATGAAACATCTCATCGTCTTGATTTATGTCAAAATCCATTAATAAAATCAATATATTGGAATGAAATATATTCTGATGTAGATTTAAAACGTCATCAAATCCAATCATCAACATCAACATTATCAAGTTTATTATCAACAAGTGTTGAAAAAGAATTTTAAAAAATCGAAATTAAAATTTCTTCATTAAAAATCATTGATCAACAAACAGCACAATTAAATTGAAATTATATAGAATTAAATTGACAATTTTCTCGAAGAATTATTGATTTTTGACTTGCACAACCACAAGATTATTATTATTATCAACAAGATGAAAAAATTCCACAAGCTAAACATAAACAATTAGAAATCTATTTATATGGATTAGAAAATAATAATTATCAAATTCAACAAGCTGATTTATTAATTTATCAATTATTTTATAAATCTATAAATATATTAAAAGAAAATATTGAAAAACAACAAACTCATTTACAAAATCTTTCAGTAAATTTTTAAGAAAAAGAATTTTTTTTTTCTTTCTATCTTTTGTTTATTTTTAGACATCTCTTCGTATAGCAAAAGAAAATATTCTTACTCGTCATTATAATCAATTAGCAACTATATCTCATGATTATTTACGTCGATATGAAAATAATCAAGATGAAAATAATTTATTAACAAATTTATTTAATCGTGATCATGGAAATAAAATAGCTGAATTAATTCTTAAATCTCTTTTATTATCAATCAAATATCGTTCAAATCAAGGTGTTAAACGTTTTTCACCTTTATTACA